AAAAAAAAAAAAAAAAAGGAAAGAGGGACAGGGTTGGGGAGAGGAGTTTAGTGGAAGAGATAACCTTCTCTATACCCCTTGCAGGCTTTAATTCCTAATTCCACTTTGGTAGGGCCAAGAAAGCAATATTCAGGTGCAAAGAATGCTAGGGAAGGAAAAAGGAATTCCAGCATCCCAAGAAGATGTAAGTCAACCTCCCACCCCGACAGGTATTAACCCCAGTAGGGTAGTCCCTGAACACAGAGCCCTGCCCCCCACCTGAGGACTGTGCCTAAGACAGCAGAAGGGCTGCCCTCAAGACCCTAGGTTTTACCTTCATCCCCACCCTTTTTAAAGATAGTCCCCCAGCCCAGTTCAAGCCCTGATATTCCTGGGTCCAGCTCCCTACCCACTTCCCAGTGCCTTCATGGGCTGGGGGCAGCAACTGGAAGCCTGACCAAGGCCCTACCCTCCACCCTCACAGGCCACCCTCAGCCCAGCCTTCCCAGGGGGTGGGGCAGTCCAAGCAAAGGCGCCATGTGGCAGGGGCGTGTAGAGGCTGCGGCTCTGGTCCTTCCAGTATAAACCCCCTAGGCATCTGGTTTCTATCCACCACCCCCCACCACCCTGGGGGCCCCTCAGCCTCCGCCCATGGCCACCCAGATGCTGAGCTCCTAGAGATGGATGCCCCTGAAGGAAGGGGTGGGATGGTGCCTTTCTGATCTCCCAGTGCCAGGACTGAGCTGAACCACAGGGCTACTCCCTTCCTTCCCTCCCCTGGGAGAATCAGGATGGGCTTTCTAGGTTGAAGGGGGTTGAATCTGGAACCTGCCTCAGTTCTCTCTAACGATTTTGGACCTTTTTGGAAAGATCAGTGGGGTGAAAAGAGAATAAAAACTGGGGACAGTGGGAGACCTTTACTCCCTACTTGTGTAAGAGGATACCTCCTTCCACACCACTGGCCTTTACCCACCCTTCTAGGCTGTGCTCTTTCAGAGCTCTAATTCAAAAGTTGTCCTAACCTTTCATTGTTGCTGTTATAGAAGGTTTGACTACCCAGAGAGAATCACCAGTGAGTAGGAAATAGAGCCCCTGAAATACAGCAATTGACACATACTCTAATACATACCTGATGGGTGATACATGTTTAGGTACACACACTTGCATACACTCTGGGTAACATAATTCATACACATATATGTACTGTGCAGGCACCCACATTGACACACACTGAAATATATGTACACTATATAGATAATGCCAACCCAAACACACCCTAACCCACAATCATAAAAAGGACACACCAGGGCTGGGTGTGGTCATCCCTGTAATCCTAGCACTCTGAAAGGGTGCTGAGTTCAGGAGTTCAGTTCAAAACCAGCCTGATCAAGAACAAGACCCTGTCTTTACTAAAAACAGAAAAACTAGCCCAGCGTGGTGGAAAGCGCCT